GTTATTTGAACAAGTTTGCTTTTTTAATGAAAAATGTGCCAACACCAAATCGTGACATATGCGGAATAGTTGAAAATTTCCAACATATTTTGATGGAATGTGTCTTGAATGAAGCAGTGAGAATGTTTTGGTAGTGATAGGAATTTTCACTTTGGCACCTTGAACAGTATTTTGGCTTATCCAATGTCAAAGGAGGCTAAAATGCTGGTCAAGCTAGCAGACTTGAACAATAAATTAACAAAAAAGTCTACAAAAAGATAAAATAATAACTGTTTGAAATGAATAGTCAGTGTTCTAAAACGTTACTAAGTATAGTCAAATTATTTATTTAGCAACATCCACTATAAGTGTCACCTAAGTCTTTGTATTATAGAAAGTAAAGCAGCTTTGTAATTTTCAGATATTTAAGTAAACAATTTTAAGACATTATCAACTAATATTTGTTAGTCTTATGTCAGTAACATCTTTAGATCAAGATTGTTTCTCTGAATAAGAAAGTATCTTATATAACTTATTTTTTTATAAAAATTTAAATTTTTTGCAATTTTGGTCCAGTTTTCTAGATACATTAACTGCATAAATAACTTTGTAATCCCATATAAATAAAGGATTACAAAATAACATTTGCAGTAAAACAATCAGTGTACCTGTATATGTATAATATAATGGAATAATAGGTGTAGATAGGTACTTTGTTGGTATTCAAGAAGTAGATGGTACCGGAAAGGAAAAAAGTAGGGTTATATACAAAAAGAAATGAAATGCCATCAAAAACATAACATGTAAAAGAAACCAAGTCTCGTAACTCAGTTCTTCTACCATAAAAAGTTGTGTGAACCAAGTCGGTTAATTTATTCAGTCCTTACTTACTTAGGGTCCTTTTGTCTTAAGTTATTGCGTAATTAGCCAACCTAACATCTTATGTTGGCCATATCAATATTAAAAACCTTTTATGTTTTGAATAAATAGATTGACTTGGCAATCACACTAAACGATCTAATTTAATATCATTTGTATTATTTGCTAGATTGTGTTTTCAAGCTCTTAAGCTATATAGTATACCACACAATGTGCTACCAAGTGACTATCATTTTGATGGCATAAAATTTAGGGAATGGGCCTGCTGTTCACTGTTAACTATAAAAAAGTATACATATTTGTTTCCAGATATCAATGAACCACCATCCATCTATAAACATTTTAAAATGATAGGACAAACAGCAGTGTCTACATCATGACAAAACTGGTAAATATAATAATTGTAAAAATCTTCATAAATTCTTCACAAAAAGTATATTATTATGTTCAGTTAATTACCTTATGTTTTTATTCCTAGGTTGCAACTCGGCAAGAATCGAAAAAATATTGCTCGCTAATATTTGGTGAAGTTTCGATAGAGCCAGGTCTTACATATGACAAATACAATGACAATATCTGTGGACTTGTAGAGTTACTGTCTACTCAGAGTCACAGTTACTGTGACAATGCCGACCATGCCTTAATGTTCCTCATTTGAGGTACTCTACACAAATGGCAACAGCCCATTGCCTTTTATTTTTGTCAGGAACTAGACCTGCACTTATATTAAAAAATATAGAAGAGAATAATAACTGGATTAATTCCTGTGGCTCTTGTAATAAGTTGAAGAAAGAAAAGAAAAAACACAAATATTGGCAAATGAAAATACTGGTAAGATAATTAAATGAAAGGTTTAAAACCACAAATTAAAGTTTTTAATAAAGTGCTAAAATTATTAGTAATGTATTTTTATACTTTTGATTGCCTATTAACCAAATTTTTGTTTTCATTTCAGATGACACAATCACAAGAAGTCAAAAGATTAATATCATATTTGATCCTCCTCACCTCATTAATGGTCTAAGAAATAATTTTCTTGACAAAAATATAGTATTGAATGGGAAAACATCAAAATGGGATGATATTGTAGATGTTTATTTAACAGACTGCAAACATGCAGAAATATATTTGCCGCATAAGTTAAATGATGAACATGTCATTCCTCAGAAAATAAAAAAATGAAGGTAAGCTTACCAATGTAAGAAAATAAATATATACATACAATAGAATACATCTTTGAAATAAAGCCAAATTAATTAATATTAACATTTGGTTTTTCAGGTGAGAAACTTCAGTTGTGTGTTAAGCAAAACTGTTGCATACACATCACAATTTTGTAAGTCTGTTGATCTAAATATTATTTTATTTTAATTTACAATATGGGGAAATCTATCAAACTTTACCAAATTCCAACATCACCTGCATGAAGTGAGCCCTGCTTACTAATAAATAGTGCAATCTACTTCTGTAGGTAATCCATTTACATTTGCAGAACCAAAAATCTCACAACTAGATGATGGAGAGTGTATTGTGGCTACAGGCACATTGAAATATTGTGTCATCTTCATTATTATAGCATCTTAAAAAGTCCACTGCTGAACATAGGCCTCACCTGAAATGTCGTTATACACAGAACTCACGCATGTGCACACATATCCTGCCTGTCTTATCAGGTCATCACCTTAGTGGGGGGCCGTCTTACGATTTGCTTACAGATGTGCGCCTACCAATGGAAAAATATTCACTGATTTATAAAGTCCTAAATCCAGCAGAGGATGTAAATGTAGAAAGCTGATATTTATTTTACTTTTTTATACTTTTTATTGCATACAATATTATATTACATAAACACTGACAACAAACTATATACTAAATGTACAATTAGCGGGCCTTAATACTAAACAGAGATCTGTTCCAGGAAAAACTATAGAGAAGGAGATTATTTTTATATAAGGGTGCATGGATACTTATAAGCTGTATTATGTAGGATTGACTGCTTTGTTGGTCTAGTGGTTGTAGTAGTGCGACTGCTGATCGTGAGGTCCTGGGATCGATCTCAGGTCGGGCCAAAAATCAATTATTGAGTTTTCTGTCATGAAATCTTCAGTAAGCTGCCTGGAGTCAAGAAGTTGGCGGTGTCTTACCACCATGCCTCAGAAAACTCGTAAAGGCGTTGATCCTGCGCCTGGTGTCTCTTTGGTCGTGTCAGTTTACTGTTCCATCGGATTGAGAGTGAGGAAATAGAGAGTGCACCTGTACTTGCGCATAGATTTAGGCAATATAATCCTGTCCTGCGCCGATGGCTAGTTGAGGCAGGCCACCATGACCGAAATTTGATCTGGAGGACATTATTATAAAGAACTAGCTTGCCAGGCAAACCTTGTTCTGCCCTTTTCGACGACCCTATGTCATGTCCTATTAAAAATTCTTAAATTCGCAAAAAAAAATTGTGGAGCACTCATGAGAAAAAAAACTATCCTATCACTCAAGATGGGCCAAACTGCACACGATGTGCAAATTTGATTAAAATCGGTTAAGTAGTTTAAGAGTCTATCGCGGACGAACAATTTGACACGTAATTTATATATATTAAGATATATTATAAAGAATATAACATTTCATGAATTAACCAACTTTGTTAGCCTCAAGCACAGGCGCAGAGTAGCCAGCCTCTCAGTATTCTATAGGATGCATTTCGCAGAGTGTGCGTAGGAATTGCACGCTTTAATTCCTCCTTCTCCTTTTCACCATCGGACGACTAGGCAGTCGGCGGGTCTTTACCCCCTAGTTGTTGATATTCCACGCATTAGAACCAAACGGTTTACTTCGAATTTTTTAATGCGTACAGCAAAGGAGTGGAATAATTTGCCAGCGTCTATCTTTCCGTCCGAATACAATCTGGACGTCTTTAAGGCAAGAGTGAATAGGGTTTTGTTACGCTAAGACAGTGCGATTTACTATCTAAGGCTGCGTCACCACTTAACACCAGGTGGGATTGTGGTCAAGCACTGGCTTATAAAAAGTGAAAAATTATATAAGAATAAAAGAGAAACAAATAACATTAATTTAGGGTTTCTATGGCTAACATTATATTTATTTTTATGTTACAGCTCGCTAAGCTGATAGAAAACCTGTAAACTCGACGTCAAAAAATACTTCAGAAGCTTTGTCATTTTTCGAGGACTTATTTGATTCATGTAAGGAAACAGCTCTTACACGGAGAAACAAAGTGAAGCCCTTAAAGCAAGCTGTAACGAATTCATCAGAGCACGAAACCCTTTTGACTAATTCCATAAAAAAATTAGAGGTAACGAGATTTGTTAATAAAGAGGTCAAGGAGTGTATTGTGTCCTCTAAAAAAGTCAGTCGTCAGTCCACCATTGGATTTCTCACAGAGAGTATAGATACTTAAAATAAAAACAAAAATTAAACTATTCCTCAGAATATGCAGTGAGGTATATTTCAACCGTTGTAAAACAAACTAATATTTGGAATTGAAACCAAATTCTTGTGAAATTTAAAAAAAAAGCATATGGAAATTAAATTCAAATATTGGAACGGAAATGGAACTGGTGTAACGTTATTAAAATCTTAAAAGAATTTGATATTGTGAGATTAAAATAACGTAACCAATTGCCGCAAATGCTAGATAAAGTTTATAAATAATTTAAAAAGAAAAAAAAATAAAAACTTGAATAACTAATATATAAGTTGTTTTATTTTTGTATTATAAGTTCTAAAGATTTTAAAATTGTCAACTTTTAATGGTGAATAGCTGTGGGTATGGGAATGAAATTAGGCTTTATCAATGATGTACTTTTGCCTTATAACTACAGAATTTAAAAGTAACGTAAGTAGGCTTTATCAATGATGTACTTTTGCCTGATACCTCAAAATTAGAAGTAAACAAAAGTCAAACTCTAAACTACTGGTTCCGTATTGGTTGTTCTAAGATTCCTGTCCTACATATTTATTTATCTATGTTCCTGTCTGATGCGTAGTATCCTCTTAGTAGTCTGTGATTTGTGATTGCAAATTTTGGTTTGTCTGGGTAGCGTTTGTTTTGATATTTATTTATAAAACTTAATGTATTTAAATTGTTATTTATTACTTTTTATGTGGTTTTTGTGTGTACCATGGCTATGTTCCGTTCTCCCAGAGAAGTCTGTTCTCGGAACCCTAGAGAAAACAATTGTGAAAGAACAGAGCAGGGGGGAGCGTACTGTTGTGATTTTTGCTACGATGGCTGGGACAGTGAAACTGAAGTTGATATACATCGCAATTCTACTCATAGAAAAGAAATGTTGGATTTGTTAAAAGATCCGAACCAGCATATTTGCAGGGTAAGAATACATTGTAACAAAAACTTAGCATTTTCAGCATTGTTTCATTCCTCTTGTTTCCATCGTCATAATCATTATATCTCAGCCCATTGCAAATTCTCTCTTAGTCTGCCATAGAGCACGGTTTTGAGCTACGCTTCCATTGACTTATGCATGTCTCATCTGATTTTTAGTACCTCGTCAGTGATATTCCTTTTAGTAGAATAAAGAGAGTGAGTGAAGTTGTGTGATAATATCACATTAAAAACAATTTAAAAAACAAAATATTCCTACCATGTTTAACAAACATCATATTGTATGTTGCATATTGCACCGGCTCAGGTGTCGGGTAAGGTTTACAATTCGGTCGCCTGAATTTGGGGGTGGGGGGTGGCGTGGGGGGGAGGGGGAGGAGTTGTACAGTCACCCCCCTACTTCCACTTTCTGCCGGACGTGCTTAGTTTTTTTTTTATTAATTTTTAAAAATCTCATTTTGAGGTTATGTTTCGTAATTTTTATGACAATTTTAACATGATTTATGGGTAGAGAGAGTTGGAGGATGGAAGCCCCACGCCACTTAACGTGGTGCAGTCGAGGGAGGTCCGGTCGACGGAGCCCCTTCGCCGGGGCTCCTACTTCTAAGTGGTTTACAAAAAAATAACCACGAAGAGGATAACGGGGTCTATTCGCTCGCTTCGCTCGCTCACACGACCCCGTCATCCTCTTCTAACCTAACCTGTCCGAGTCGGGGTGCTCCACGTCCCAGGCTCGCTTCGCTCGCTATTGCACTCGATATAACACCAAATTATTAACTTTCGTAACTACTTTAATTTATAAACATAATTTATGGCTGCCACCATTTGTAAGAAAAGATCTTTGCGATATTTAGCAGTATTCCGCCGCCACAAATATTTCACTATTCACCAAAATTCTGAAACTCGGAAGCATCACCGTGAGGAAAAGCTGTCAACAAAATGGCCGGCATAGCGATTTAATTTTTCATATTTTTAAATCGATTCAAATCGAAATTAGATGAATCGATTCTTAAAGATCAATTTCGCAAAAATCGTTTTTTTTTATTTGCGTTAAAAGTTTATATTTACGATATCAAAAGATACAATAAAGTACAGATAACATTGAATAATTAAATTAAAAACTGTCATTCTTTACGAGTTGGGGTACATTCAACCAATTGTAAATAATTTTGCAAATCTAAATAAAACAGAAAAAGATTCGATCTCGATTCTCTAGGGTGAAATATCGATTCACTAGATCGATTCAGTACTATATATCGATTTGACATTGACAGATGAAACGTCAACAACGTAATTAAATTAGTCATTTACCAATATTTTTAAAAAATAATTAAAAATACTTCGACGCTGCTCCGGCAGAAAAAATCGAGTGGGGGTGCTTCAGATAAACCCCCTTGACTCCCCCACAGTGACAGAATCTTCAAATTCAGGCGACCGAATTGTAAACCCAACCCCAGGTGTCTGACATGTGGCTCTTGGACTCTGACAACACAGCATGTTACTTCCCTCTTTGCTATCGGTTTCACAACAGAGACTTTTTTATCTCCACACATCCATAGCATAGTTTGACTGTAAAACCGCTAAACTATATAAGATTGACTTACCTAATAATTAAACAACCACTTACTGTTTGTCTAATACAATATTGGTATATTTAGGGTTATTATTCCGGGGAGGCTTACGCCTCTAAAAAGTGACATGACCTATCCTGCCCCCCTCTTCTTATGCTGATGACCAAAAACTAGATCACTTTTAACTTATTTATAGTTGCAGTTGTTTGAAGTAAATGAAAATAAGTTGGTTTTGAAGTGTACCTATAGTTTTTAAATCAATTTTATATGAAAATATGGTATATATGGATTGCAAGTCATCTCCCTCTCTTCAGATATCAGGTAATCCTTTAAGATCCTAGTGCAATTTGTTTTTTATTCTTCCGCTCCAGGATCATCTCACCAGTTTTGGGTGCGTGGGTTACATATTGAAAGATTGAGTCATTGAAGTTAGTAACTGAACTACCACCAAAGATTCTTAGCACCATTTTGTGCTACCATTATCATAGTAACCACCGTAGCCAATCTTTTATAAATGCATTGAAAAATACATAAACAGAGCTATTGTCTTGCCTTATGCCCAAATGACAGTTAGACAGCCGGGAGAGACAACTACAACTCAAAACTGACTACATATGTTAAAAATTGACTAAATTATCATCTCCTATTCCCCTATTTTCGTCTCTAAATGTGGAAATTAATTACATTTTCTACAGCAATATAAGATTGATTGTAGCTATGAATGTGAAGTGTCGTGATTGTGAGTGTCATAAGAGGCAACTGAGGAAATGATACAGATGGGTGGCAAAATCTTCACGATCACACCTATTTAACTGGTTTAGTTTAGTTTACAACGAGCTGTTTTCTGTAACTTCACGTCTAAGCATGTATTTTGCGTGTGGACAGGAATAATGTGATTATTTGAGTGATGAAATCTGCCCGAAGATGTTGAAGAGTCCTTTGATGTTGCAAGCAACTTTGGGGAGCAATGGCATGCCGAGGTATTTAGCCCTGTATAAAGCAACCTCCAAATGAAACTGTTTACGAACCTGCCTTTGCTAAGTGTGGCAACTATGGCAAGCATACCCCCCATGAGGTAGATGATGGGAGAGTTCAGTGGACTTTTAATGGGCTTTAATGAATGACTAATTGAGAACATGGAACTTGCTTTTATATATATATATATATAAAAAAAAAATATAAATATATATATATATATATATATATATATATATATATAAACTTAAGTGACAAACAAACTTACAGTCCACCTGACGGTAAGCTACTGCGGTCTATAGAAACCTGCAGACAACTTAAGGAATGAAGACTACAAATGTTTTACATCCATTTTGTGTGGTAGAGCCATGCTGCAATCATATTAGTAGTATAATTGTAGCACAATTGGGTCGGCTCGACTGGGGAAGGACCATGCTCTCACAGAAGACCAGCGTAATAAAGCGGCTTAACAGTAGAGAACCAGAGACCCTTTTTACAGGAAGTGAGGAGTTCCATCTTAGTCCTCACAATGACAACCCATTTGCATTTTGATTAAAACTACTTTTACGGATTTTATCGCGTTTATTTTTGCTTTTAATTATTTTTATTTTTTAATTCCCGACGTTTCGGGCACTTTCCAGCACGCATGGTCACGGGGGACTGAGATGACTGATGTCCCGATGTCATTGTTAAACCCGGAGTACCTTCAGCTTTTTTAATTATTGTTTATGGTATCATGTGTAGTGTTCGCGTAAATATAAGAAACCATTTGCATTTTAATTCATATTCGAGGATAATTGTAGATGTCTATGGCCCACAGCAACCACTTACCATCAGGTGGGCTGAGCGCTCGTTTGTCACCCCTATCCTATAAAAAAAACATTCGAACACTCAGATGGAATGCCTAACATTCAGTAATTGTAGAAGTACTGGCTCTCTACACCCTTCAGAATGCAACACAGCAGTGCCAGCACTGATACTTGGCAGTAGAAATAGGTAGTGAATATTTCTTATCTCTATTTCGATTTTTAATCTCTTTTAGATCTGCTACAAGTCATATGAAGATTATAATGATTTGATCCGTCACATAAAAACCTGGCACCTACTCAGCAGCGAAGATGCAGTACGTGTGGAACGTGAGATTTTTATATGTGACTTTTGTTCTATGCTCTTCTTTAACAAATTACTCATACAAACACATATATTGCTGTATCATATGGACGTTGATAAAACCGAAACATTTACGGAATGTGCAAAATGCCACAGAATGTACCGTCTAAGAACAATATGGTACCATTTTCAGGCTCACTATATTCAGAGTGTTGCTGGCTGCAAAATATGCCTGACAAAATGCAAAAACAGAAAGGATGTCCTCAAACATCTGGAGACACATAGAAAGTTTCTCTTTTGCAATGTTTGCAGATATGAAACTACGAATGAGGAATATTTTAGAGAACACCTTGCAACCAGACATAGGAAAAGTGTTAGAAGTTCTAGAAAAGACAATTATAAATGGAAGCCATACTTTTTGCCCAAGTCTTCTCTTGTTGACTATAGATTCAAATTTGTATGTGATACAGCCTGCAAAGGTGTTGATATGCCACTGATTGAAGATACTCAAATACGCATTTGTATATTTTGTCGAGAGATCTGCTTTGGGGAGCAAAGTGCAAAAGACCATATATGGTATGTTCATCACCAAGTGTACGAACCTCCAACGTCCATTCACCTGTGTATATGTGGAGAGAAGTTCGCCTTCAAAGTTTTACTGAAACAGCATTTGTTTAAAAAAAAAATGTGATCGCAAGAAACCCAGTAAGTTTTTTCTAATTTGTTTTTAGAATATATGTGGTAGAGCCACACTGCAGCTATTATGGTTGTAGTATGAATGGATAGGCTTGACCTGGGAAGGTCCACACTCTCACAGAATACAAGCATCAAATAGTAGCTTAATGCTGCTGTGTTTTGTATGATGAGTATAGGGAACTGGAGACTCTTTTTACAGGAAGTGAGGCAATGCATCTTAGTCCTCATGGGTGACAACGCATCTTAATTTTGATTCGTAGTTGAGGATACATGTAGGTGTCTATGGGCCACATCAACCACTTACCATCACATGGACTGTGTGCTCGTTTGTCACCCTATCCTATAAAAAAAACCAGAAGATAGGCAGCAGTGTTTTCCTAAAAACAACTAAAAATAAAAGAACTGCGATTGACAACCCTCTTGCCAAGCATGGCAGCTATGGCATACATGCCCCTTTTGAATCTATAGGGGAGGCTTATGCTCAGTGGATTTTTTATTGGCTAGAAAGGTATAGGTATCGGAAGAAATAGGTTGAAGAATCTGGTATATCACCTCCACATGATACTGTACTACGTAGCATTTGGTTACTGTATGTGGTGGTACTTATTTAGCTTTATTTATTCCTTACATGAATATTATTATTCCTTTTATTTTATTTGTTATCTTTTCCTTTTATTTTATTTGTTAATTTTGTTAGTAAGTCTTAATATTAAATTTTTGTTAATATTGTGTTAGTTGTAAGGGCTCCTCCAAATTACTCCAAGCGATTCTGTCTTGTGCTAATCTTGGCCATAGTGTACCTACTTCAATAATGTCATCACTTCACCTTTTTGATGGCCTACCTCGTCTTCTTTTCTTATATAATGGGTACCAGTTCATTACTGTTTGTGACTACCTACTTTCTGTTATACTCTGTATATGGCCAGCCCATTTCCATTTTAGCATCAGGATTTTTTCTACTACATCTTTTGACTTTGTTCTTTTCCTGATCAAAGCGCTTTGATTTCAATCTTGTAATCTTACATTCATTTCATTCATTTTTTTATATGTGGTAGAGCCATGCAGCAGTTATATTAGTAGTATAGTTGTAGCACAAATGGGTCGGCTCGACCGGGGAAGGATCACACTCTCACAGAATATCAGCTTCAAATAGTAGCTTAATGCTGCTGTGTTTCGTATGGTGAGTGTAGAGAACCGGAGACCCTTTTTACTGGAAACTAGGCATTCCGTCTTAGTCCTCACGGGTGACGGCGCATCTGCATTTTGATTCGTAATCGAGGATAATGTAGATGTCTATGGGCCACAGCAACCACTTACCATACCATCCTATAAAAAAATATAGCTTGTTTTTATCCCTCCTTGGCATGTTCTTGTTTTACTAACAAAGGATTTATTTACTGGCCAAGTGACATGCACATATGTTAAGCAAGGAATCAGACAAATGTTCATTGCCTTTGTTTTAGTTATATTGGTAGATATCCTTTAAATATTTACTTCATTGACCAATTAATTGTACTAATGTAGTACAATTTGTTTTGACTGCCTCGGTGGTACCTGTGGTTGTAAACATGAACGCTGATCAAGTTCTGGGTTGCGCTAAAATCAACTACATTGATTATGTTCTCATTTTATTTATATTGAAGTTGGTTGTACAAAATTTTAATTTTATATAATATAGATTACAAGAATACTTATCTAAAAGTAATTTAAGCTTAACATCTAGTTCGGAAAAAAACTTTGTCCTCGGAATAACCAGCAAGAAACCTAATGGGACTTTTCTTTCTTTAAAGCATAATTTACAATATAATATTTTATACAATTAGCATGAAAACATTTGGAAACAGCGTGGTAGCAATTACACTTGTGCACTATAATCGTGCTCCGCATAGATGGCTTGTGTCCAATAGGACTGGTTGCTGTGACTGAAATTCTGCACTACGACATTGTTTAGTTTTGTTTACGACGGTCAGTTTTCTGCAACTCCACGTCTAAGCGCGTATTTTGCGTGTGGGCAGGAATATTGTGATTATTCAAGCCATAAAATCTCCCCGAAGAAGTTCAACAGTCCTTTGATATTGTGAACAACTTCGGGGAGTGATCCCGGCGCGCCGAATTGTTTAGCCCTATATGTAGCAACCTTCGGACATGCCTGTAGACGTGCATCGCCGTTTCCTCCTCCCTATACATGCCCTGCACGAGGAGGATACTATCTGTAACACCTGTAGTAAATAAATGTTTGTTAAGGGAGCTATGTCTTGTAAAAGCGTTTTTTTTATTCAGCGACAGTAGCCTATTGGCAGGGCGCGGACCGCGAACTCAAAAAGGTCGTGGGTTCGAATCCGCTATTCGACTACTGGCGTGAACCACTCGTAACACAAGCAATTCAAGCTTACCACGAGTGGTTAAGGGGAATATTGGTTAACGTTTATAACATTGTTAATATTCTTTTTATAAAAAAAAAAACAAAAGCACTTGTTGCTATCCTGATCTGCGGCTTGCTCAATCTCATTAAGACCTTGGTTATACGACTGTTTATTTCTGGCAGAGCCTCCCTCGCATGCCTATAGTCCACTAGATTTTTTCAAAGCTGAGTGTGTTGCATAACATTATTATAATTATTGTTCTTTTTTACAGAGTCTATAACGGCAGATACTGATGAGTTATTAATAGTCTTAGTGGAAGAGGAAGATGATCCTAAAGCAAATGGTAACAGCTGTAGCCACGAAAACAGTTTGAAAAGAAGCGCTGAAGACCAGAAACACTGCAATTAAGTGACAGGGGCTAAGTTCTAAATAATCTTATAACAGTAAGCTTGGATATATAAAGTGAGCAATTCTTGTATATATGTATGTATACTAACTGGTCCGGTAGATGTTTCTGCTATACCCCATATGCACTCCAGACTTATTAGGTTATCAATAACTCAACCACTTTTTCTCAACACCTATTGTTTCCAAATTTTGTGATATTTTGGTACTAAGTCTATATGTGGCGTTCATAAATAAAAAAAGATTAAGGTACATTCTTATCAACAGATATGCCAATAAATAAGTGTATAAAGAAATATATGATATATTATGTGTTATTGGTTTCTCGAAAACAGTTCTAACATATTCGATGAATTTTACTACTCAGACAATGTATAAATTTGCAAGTTAATCCACTTAAATAAGTGTAATCACAAAAAAATTACATATTTTGTTTATTTATCTTAAACTTTACATAAACGCATGTTGTATAGGTAAACTTTGGTTCTTAATTAAAGACAGATAGATGTAGATATCTATGGACTACAGCATCCACTTATCATCAGGTGCACTGGGTGCTCGTTTGTCACCCTTATTCTATAGAAAAATTTTGTTATTCAAATTTGTATATATATTACACATATATGCACTAAATACCATATTAAATAATATATAGATGTAATAAGAATAAAAATATAAATAAACTAATTAATAAGATGAACCTGCACATTTATTGAGTAGGTGTTTCTTAGCTCTTATGTTGAATGCGTAACGATTGCCAGTTGTCCTAAAGTTACAGCCTATATACATCCCACTGCTGGGCACAGGCATCTCGTTTCTCATTTCTGATAGGATTTTAGGATAAGGAAATGTCCGCCGTGCTGTCCCAATGCGTGTTGGCGAGCTTTACATGTCTTAAAAATATTTTTTTTATTTCTCAGACATGCAGGTTTCCCTCACGTTTTCCTTCACCGCCGAGCACGTGGTAAATCAGCACGAGCCGTGGTAGCTTTGGAGATAGTCGCTGTTTAATTTCACAGTACGCGACCAACCCGTGTTTTATTACCGGCGGTAACAATGAAATTTCAAGAGTCTATGTTATAAAGAACAATCATGTGGGTTTGTTTCTGTGAAGGTTATTAAGCTAAAGAATTCAATGTTGGTGGATTTAATATGCCATCGAAATTTCTTAGACATATGTATGATATCAGCATTTAAAACTTTACATATACACACATACATATAGCATTATGGCTGTAATCCTTAAGAGGAGTCCAAAGAGCAACAAACTACTTTATTATATTACTGATTACTGACCATGTTTAGCCAAAAAAACATGGGTTTGGTTGGAAACTCATCGCCTACACTAGAGATTATCAAAATTATTTCTTCAACCGCCTTCTTTTAAAATCAATTATTTTTCAGCGCTCCCAATTTTTTATACACTCCTAAAACTTAAAAATCACAATTTCATTACTTTAATTAATTTAGTTATGGTGTATTGTTCGATTTTGTTGTGAGAGCAATTAAAACGCAACTTTGCTAATATTAAGCATATATTTTAGTCAAATAGATTATTAAATAAATAAAATAAAGAGACAATATAGATAGGTGATCAATTTTAGTTTCAAAACTAATCTAGTGAGAAATAAATTTGATGATTTTTAACAAGTTTGTTGATGTCAGGTTCGATTTTACACAAAAACAGTCGTAAGTCGCCGCGTTCGGTAACAAATGCAAATGCAAACGATTTATTTTTTTAGTGAGCAGCGTTGTCACAGCGCTAAATCCACGTTCACACAAATATGACGATGGGAATGCTATCAAAAATCGTTGAACGACCAACCACAATCCAGGGTACATCCGCGGGATAGACTTTTGTAGCCAAAATTCTTGGTAGCCCTTGTTGAATTTGATTTTTATTTCCTCGTTCGTTGTCAGTTCTTTAAATTGTTCTTCCAGTTGGGGTGATACTGCTATGTTGACATTTGAAAAAGGATGTAACACCCAGTCTCGTATTTTAATTTCAAAATGACCTGGAATCATTCAATGGACTGTGGAGATTTTCCAAATGTTGACAGTAGACAAGCAAGCCGTCGTTGTTGCGGGATACTGATAAATTGGTGAAATTATGGAACTCATATCAGCCGATACTCTTCTTGTGTTCAGAAGTTCGGAGCAGCTTGGCTACGAAAGCAGCGACGACATCTTTTGTTTTTATTAAGATCAAATCATTGCCTTGAAGATTCATATCATTAAGCAATTTATAAATGTTTATCAGGTATGCGATATCATTCTCTAATGTGATGAGGTTATCGCTCAATTCTGTGTCTTTGTTTTCCAAGAACTCTACGACAGAATCAAACAGATTGTAAAATCGAGTCAGACAATTTCCTTTTGATAGCCAACGCACTTCTATGTGAAAGATCAATCGGTTGAAATCTTCCATCATTAGTAACACAAAGCTGATTAAATAATCTGTCATTCAAAGATTTTTTTCGGACTTTATTGACTGCTCTGATGACATGTTGCAATGATTAAAATGGCCGTTCACTTAAATTTCTAGCAACCAAATGTTGTTGATGTATAAAACTATGTACAGCAAACACATCTAGAATTTTCTTTTTTAACGCTATGAAGCCTTTTTGACACCCCGTCATAGCTGGAGCACTATCTGTAGCAGCTGACATAATATTCTTCAAGGAAATTCCTTTTTCATCACAAAACTTTTCCAATATTTTAAATATGGATTCTCCTTTGTGTCTGACTCTGAAAGGCGGTCCATTTCAGGCCCAGTCTATGTACACTATACCGTAAAAAGCGATAAATTCAGGGATTTTAATAAAAATAAAATTATGGAATAAATGAAACTAAATGACTTGCTAAAAAAAATGCAATCCCAATTTTATATAGTTATAAAATTATGTCAAATGTTATATCTGAAAATTGACTTGAGTCATGAAATAATGTATTTATGATTCTTTTTTTATTCCGAGCGAGCAGTTGTGAACTTGTGAATGCATTAATTGTGTTTCTTTTGGATTTCTTTGGCGATTTGTTTTTTTTTATTTGGAGTTTGGATCTCTTATTACTTATTGGACTCTGCTTTTGTTTTATGGACTTCATGATTTATGTGAGTTTTTGATTTCATTGATTTCGACATCTGTAGAATCACCAGGCATCAATAACTTCATGACAGTTGACAGCTAACGTCAAATCGACATCAATTCGCCTTTAGTATTGCAGTTTTTGGTAAGAATTAAATATTAATACCACTGAAATAAAGGCAAATTCGTGGATTTGGATGACCAAAAGTGGTGTAATACATTATTTTAATTTATTTTCCTACTTGTATAAAACCAGGCCTACGCTTTATACAAATTTGGACAGTCTCCTTTCTATATAATAGTTCTCGACAAATTTTTTCATTTTTGATAAATCTCATGTAAGACAGCTACAATGCTTCATTAGTTGGTAAAGTGGACTCGTCCAACTGAATTGAAAATCGACTAGTTCTCAGATGATTGTACAATGACTTCAATGTTTTCACTCATTTCATTGTTTCGTTTTTGCACAAATACTATTGCTCAAAGGAATTTTTAGAATGTTGTCAGCCGCCATTTTATGGAGCACAGTAGTTATAACTTTTGTTGCCGGAAAAATAACGTTTCTCCGATGGTGTGTGGTTTACCTGTTTAAGCAGTAAACAAAAAGATATTGTATGAAGCTCGAAGTCCGTCATCGTCTTGCTTAGCAGCCACCGAGTTTTGATACACTTGGCTGAGCATTATGCTTCTTTTACGGGTCTTGAAAATAGGTCTATATTTTTGCCCTTCTTATCTGGATGCATTTTATTCAAATGACCTTGAAGTTTTGAAGACTTCATCACTTCATTTAAAAATGTTTTTGAACAAAGAAGGCACAGGCAACGATGGATTTGTTGAATTTTCTATGAATCCATATTTAATATATTCTGAGTACACTATATTGCCGTCTCTTTTTTATTTTGCTTCCGACATGGCTTTGTTTTTACAAATATGTAAATAAAGTGTTGTACTTAAATACTTGTTTAAAGATTGCGCGTGAAACCATTAATGAAAATATAAAAACTATTACAAGCTTTTATATAGGATTTTAATACAACACGTACCGACAGGAATAAGAGAAAAAAGCACAAACTAGTTTATTTATTTCGACGCTCAATCGTACTGAGCATGTTTAGACAAGTATCGATGAACCAGCCAATTGCACCGATAGCGTCATTTAACAAAAACTTGTTACAACTTGATTGCATACGGCGTACGGGCTATCCTACGAAATCTATGTTAAGTACGGCAGAAATATAAGTATAGCAGAAATATAAACTAATTATTCGATATTGAGTAGTAGGTAGGTTTTAATTTTAGTAAATTTTAAAATACAAAGTATCTTAATGAAATTACAAATCAAACTTCGCCTCCCCTAAACCACGCTAACACTCCCCATATTTCTCTGGGCCCCTGAACGCCACCCTCTAGGTCTCCAACAAGGGGTCGCCCACAATGGGGCGTTATCGCCCACTTTAAGAAATAAAAGCGGCCAAGAGCGTGTCGGGCCACGCGCAGTGTAGGTTTCCGGAGTTTCCCGTCCGTCACAGTAAGTGTTCCCGCTTATGAGTTTGTACAAAAACTGTTGTTTCCATCCAAGTTCAAAATAATTTTCCTAGAAAGTCCTTATAAAGTTCTACTTTCCAGATTTTTTTCATATTTTCTAAACTTATGGTTCAAAAGTTAGAGGGGGGGGGGGACACATTGTTTTTTCCTTTAGGAGCGATTATTTCCGAAATTATTGACACTATCAAAAAATGATTTTAGTAAACCCCTATTCATTTTTAAATACCTTTCCAACAATATATCACACGTTAGGGTTGAAATTAAAAAAAAAATTCAGTTCCCACTTTACATATAGGGGGGCTACCCTAATAAAACATATTTTTCCAATTTTTATTTTACCACTTTGTCGGCGTGATTGATACACATATTGGT